AGCTGACAGACCTCGGGACTCCTACCTTCCCAGCTGCACAAAATGGCTCTTCTCACCTAAGCCCAAGGGGTAAGAGTTGCAGTTACCGAAAAAAAGAAATCAAACCCCCTGGCCATGGAGTCAATTCTGACTCACGGCGACCCCATGTGTTACAGAGTAGAACTGAGCTCCATCGAGTTTTCTTACAGAATCTTGCATAAGAGGAGGAAGGGGGAGAAGATCACGAGGTTTTTCTCCTGTGGAGCTGCAAGGTGGATCAAACCACTGACCTTTTAGTTAGCAGCTGAGCACAAGCCATTTGCGCCACCCAGACACCTTGTCGCAGCCACCCAAAAAAAATCAAACCCATTGCCATCGAGTTGATACCGACTCACAGTGACCCTACAGCCACAGTAGCAGGGATCTGGGAAAGAGAGGGGACGGCAGATTGCAGCTGGGGTTGTCTTCGGTCAGGGATTGCTGTGTGGTGCAGCAATGCAAAATGAGGCCAGCAGGAGGGAGGGGAGAGAGGAAGGGGAAGCCGCTCAGGTTTCTAGGTCAAACCAGATCCATATCCTTGGGGTGTGGGAGTCTCAGATGTCCCAGGACCAAGTCTCCAATCCCTCTGGGCATCTCTGGGCACCTCTACTGAACCCTCCCAGGTAGCCCAGTCCTCTCCTTTAACAGCCCAGGAAAGAACAACAATCACCACAAGATGATAATTGCTCCTGTACCTCAAGGACTGAAAAAAGAAAACCCAAACCCATTGCTGTCAAGTCGATTCCGACTCATGGCAACCCTATGTATTACAGAGTAGAACTACTCGCTAGGGTTTTCTTGGCTGTAATTTTTACGGCAGCAGATTGCCAGGCTTTTCTTCCGTGGCACCACTGGGTGGGTTCAAACCACCAACCTTTAGATTAGTAGATGAGTGCAAACCATTTGTGCCACCCCAGGACCTTCCGTAAGATTACAGCCACTGAAAACCCTATGAAGCGCAGTTCTACTCTGAAACACATGGGGTGTTATGAGTCAAAATCGACTCAACGGCCCCTAACAACAACAACAGCAAATCATTATGGAAGCAGACTGTCAGGCGTTTCTTCCGAGGCACCACTGGGTGGGTATGAACCACCAACCTTTAGGCTAGTAGTCCAGCGCAAACCTTTTGCCCCGCCCAGGGACTTTTGGCATTTTGTATGCATGATCTCAATGAATTCCTACAACAACCCTTATGGGGTAGTTAC